TCTCTAAGCTGAGAAGATGTCTATTCATGCCTTCCCCGGGAAAAGTTAATGCAACAAAGACATAACCAATTTACCACAAAGCAAAGCAAAAGTTAGGAAGTTCCACAATAAAGATACAGCCACATTGAGTTAATTCAATGAAGAATATTTTATGACTGAATGTTCCTGTATAAAAGAATAAATTTGACCCCCTCCTGCCTTGTATCATCTACAAAAGTTAATGTATTATAAAACTATGTAAGATGTCTAGTACCAGCCATGATTTCCATTTTGTTGAGAGGGTCTTAAGCTCAATTAGAGGTGTTGATTACCATGAAGGTATGCATGCCACTACTGGAACCTTGTGGTTATTGTGCCATGCTGGTCATTATTGTGGTTCATAGTTGTCATAGCTGGGTAGGTCTACTGGTTGCTTCCCTTGTTTGGAAGCTTTCAAAGTGCCTTCTGGTACCATGAGAATTAGTCCTCAGGTCCTCAAGGGAGAAGACTTTCAGGTCAGATCCAGCTCTGATGTGTGGGTCCATGGATTTTGGAGAACTGTCTTAGTTATGGTTTCTATTGCTGTGACCAAACACCATGACCAAAAAGAAAGTTGGGGAGGAAATGATTTATTTGGCTTACACTTCCAGATCATAGTTCTTCATTAGAGGAAGTCAGAATGGGAACTCAGGCAGGACTGGAACCTGGAGGCAGGAGCTGATGCAGAGGCTGTGGAGGGGAGCTACTTACTGGCTTGCTACCCAGTAATGTAGGGAGCCGTCCCTGCACTCTCCATTACAAGATGGCGCCTGCATCTGGCTGGCGTTGAGAGTAAACAAGTCAGTGCACAGGTGCAGGGTGATTTTCCCTCCCTTGGCCTCTGCCTCTCCCGTGGCGTCATATGGGCTGATGGGCTGCAGCCAATCAGGAGGTGACACGTCCAAGGTGAAGGTTGTAAACCTATGTAAGGGTTGGGTTTTGGATGTTTGGCGTCTCCGCTCTGTAAGCTTACGCTCTCCCTCTCAAGATGCATTAAAGCTTTACTGCAGAAGGATCCTGAGTGTGCCGTGTCGTTCTTGCTGGCGAGACGGTAGCTCGGGACACAGTAAGCCAGTACTTGTTCAGCCCACCTTCTTATGACAGCTCAGGTATGACACCACCCACCTTGGATTGAGCCCTCCCCCATTGATCACTAATTGAGAAAATGCCTTACATCTGGATTTCACTGAAGCATTTTCTTAACTGAGGTTTCTTCCTCTGATGACTCTAGCTTATTTCAAGTTGACACACAAAAACAGTCAGTACAACTGACCCTTTGCCAATTTGACACATAAACATATTACTAGTAAGTCATAACCCTTCCTTTTTTATTCATCCCCAAGATCTCACATTAAAATCACAAATAATTAGTCCCATGGTCTATAAATTCAAACACATTAAAATTTGAATCTCTTTAAAATGTCCAATCTCTTTTTAAAAGTTCAAGTCTTTCATCTGTGGGCTCCCTTAAAAATCAAAATCAAATTAAATACCTTCTTCAAGATGGAAGAACCAGGGCACCATCACAATCTGACCCAAGCAAAACCAAACTCCAACAATATAAAAAACTCAGTGCTGAATTATCTGGGATTCAGTCGAGATCTTCTGGACTCCTCCAACGGGCTTGAATCACTTCTACAGCTCTGTCCTCTGCAGCACACACAGCTGTCTTCTAGGCTCTAGATGGCTACACTCTGCCTGCTGCTGTGGTTCTTCGTGGTCTTCCCATGATACTGGCATCTCCAAAATGCTAAGATCCCTCTCTGCAACTGGGCTGCATTTTACCAATAGCCTCTCACAGGCTCTCTTCATGGTACCAAGCCTCAACTTATTTGCCTGAACCTTTCAGTTCTGGGCCTTCAAGTGCCACTGAGGCTGTACCTCCACTGATGGCCTCTCCTGGCCTCTCTCAGGGCCAAGTCTCAGCTTCTCTCCATGACCCACCCCTCCATGCCTTCCAAACCAGTACCGCCTGGGTGACTCACACGCATCACTAAGTCCTGCTGCCAACATGAGGTACAACCATGACTGCCTCTGGAACACAGCTTCTCTGTGCTCTCAGGAAACACTTCCTAGAAGATTTCAACTCAACGGTACTGGTTTCTTCTTAATCACTACTAATTTCTTAGCTTCAGCTAACCAGCATCAATTATCCCAGTAATATAAAGGTTTCACTTCAGTAGTTCTGGTATCTTGTTAATCACAGCTGATTCTTCAGCTAACCAGAACTCAGGGTCTTAAATCAAAATAGCAAATGGCCTGATAGAACCTTTAAATTTCCTTCTAAAATTACACAAGCCAGGCCTCCATCTTCTGCACAGCTCTCAACATTCTTGTCTTCCAAGTTCCCACTAAACATCCCACTGAGGTCTCAACCCTCAGTGGCTTTTCTAGCCCAAACTTCCAAAGTTCTTACACAATCCTCCCAAACACAGTCAGGTCTATCACAGCAATACCTCACTATGCTGGTACCAGCCTGTCTTTTTTTTAAAATTTATTTAATTTAAAAACAACCTTATTTTACATATCAATCCCAGTTCCCTCTCCCTGCCATTCTCCCATGCCCCCCACCCATCCCCATCCACTCCCCAGGGAAGGGGAGGCCTGTCTGTCTGCCTGTCTGTCTGTCTGTCACATCATTTGTGGGAGGGCCATGTGTCTAGGCTTAGAGGGTATCCATCCATGGGGAATGGGCTCCTAAAGTCCATTCATACACTAGGGATAAATACTGGTTCCACTGCCAGAGGTCCCAACCTGTCTTTGTTAGAGTTTCTATTGCTGTGAAGAGACACCACGGCCACAACAATTCTTATAAAAGGAAAATATTTAATTGAGGTGGCAGCTTATGGTTTCAGAGGTTTAATTCATTATCAAGGTGGGATATGGTGTCATGCAGGCAGACATGGTACTGAAGAGGAAGTTGAGAGTTCTACATCTTGCAGGCAACAGGAAGGAGTCTGTGACACTGGGACTAGCTTGAGCATAGGAGACCTCAAAGCCCATGCCCATAGTGACACACTTCTTCCAACGAGACCATACTAAGTCAAAACAAAACAAAAACAAACAAAAAGCCCAAAAGAAGAAGAAGAAGAAGAAGAAGAAGAAGAAGAAGAAGAAGAAGAAGAAGAAGAAGAAGAAAACCACACACACCTCCTAATAGTGCCACTCACTTTGGGGGCCATTTTATTTCAAACCACCACAAGAACCTACAATTACCGCTTTACTAAACCAAAATAACCCCTAACTATATTCTAAATATTTATCATTATGTCCACAGATAAGGGTAGTTCTCACCCTTCGTCAAGGAAACTTCTCTTTGCAATGGGTGCAGACCATTACAGAAAACCACAAAGGATCCAAATACAGAATTCTGGAGCCCAATGCCAGCTGAGCTGATACATCTATAACACAACTCCTGTAGCTAAGACTCTGGGGTCATTGCAGAAGAGGGGATGGAAAGATTGTAAGAGTCCAGGGAGTTTGCTGTGAGAGTGTGTCTCCTAGGGATGTCAGAAGCTACACCCATAAAGTCTCACCAATGTGACTGCCTAAACATGAGCTGGAGAAGGGCAGCACCAGTAGATGTGCTGTGGACAGGGAAACTCAAGAGGCCTCAAGTCAACACAAAGAGCTTCAGGCCACTGAGGAGCCTTGAGATTGGAAGAAGAGCACGCCAACTGGCTTACCAATACCACATGGTCGGCCCTGAAAACACAAAGATACAAGTATCAGTGTACAGACTGAGCAGGGAACATTTATGTATTTAGGAGTATTTATACACATATGTAGCAATAATTAAAGAAAAAGAGACCAAGAATTTGAAAGTGAACATGGGAGAGTGTAGACAGAGGAAAACAAAGGTAGTATGTTGTAATTATATTAAAAAAAATCTCAAAAAATAAAGCTAAATTATTCTTTAAAAAAAACTATATGTAGGAACTAGAATTTTAAAACACATCAAAGAAAACAGTATTACTGGACCTGGTGGAATCTGCCTTTAATTCCATCACTTGGAGGCAGAGGCAGGGAGATCTTTATGACTTAGGGGCTAGCCTAGTCTACAAAGCAAGTTCCAGGTGAGCTAGGGTAGTGTGAAATATGCGGGAATTTAGGCCTGGAGACATTGCTTGGTGGTTAAGCACGTTTGTTGCTCTTGAAGAGGACCTGGGTTCAATTCCTAGCACCCACATGGAGGCTCACAACTGTCCAGCTCCAGGGGATCTGATGGCTTCTTCCTTGGGCAAAACACACATGCAGGCAAAACACCTATACACATAAAATAATATTAAAAAAATTAAAAGTGAAGTCACTTTTTCCTTTTATAGGGGCAGTGTCTGGAAGTACTTTGGACGGCTCAGCATTTGATATACTGTTGTAGGCTTTCCTACACATGACCTCTAATATAAACAGAACCTCTGGTAACACAATTATTACCTTTAGACCAAGAGGGTTGGGAAATCACCAAAATCCACATGTGTCATGTGTCCAAGCCGACTTTGAGAAGTTCATGCTGTGAGACCAAAGTCCTTATGAGAGTTTCGAATGTGGAAAAAGGCTCACATTAGCCAGATCCAGAGGGGTTCCACATGCACTAAATGTGTTAGTGACAGGGTCAAGCATGCTTCCCCACTGAAGAGCAGGGGATTGTGGGCATGTTGAAGGCACAAACACAATGTTAAAAGGTTTCATAAAACTATAAAGTTAGTTGTTGTTTTCTGTCTTTCGAGACAGGGCTTCATTATATGGCTCTGGCTGTCCTGGAACATGCTTTGTATCAGGCTGGCTTCAAACTCACAGAGATATGCTATCTCTCTGTCTCTACCTCCCAAGTGCTGGGATTAAAGGCGTGTGCCACCACCACTCAGCAGCAAAGTTCGGTTCTTTGTTTGTTTGTTTATTTTCAAGACTGGGTTTCTCTGTGTAATAGCCCTGGCTGTCCTGGAGTTCAGTTTGTAGATCAGGCTGACCTCAAACTCACTGAGATCCAACTGCCTCTGTATTCTAAGTTCTGGGATTAAAAGCATGGACCACCACAGCCTGGCAAAAAAAATTTTTTCTTTCTTCTTTTTTTTTTTTTTTTTTTTTTTTTTTTTTTTAATAAAAAAAAAAAATCAAGTAAAAAGATAAGATAAATATTCCTAAATCATGTACTTGATAAAGAAAATCAGAATATGAGATTGTGAGTTGGGTGGTTTAGTCATCAAAGAGATAACATGAGCAGGAGGCCCTGAGTTTGTCTTACCATCCCAGTAAAAACCTGGACACAGAGGTGGCAAGCCTACAATCCGGCACTGGGGAGATGCAGATAGGAGCATCCTGGGGCTCAGTGGCCAGCTGCTTCATGAGAGACCCTGTCTCAAAGTAAGAGCAGTTGAGGAAGACACAGCAGTGTGGACCTCTGGCTTCCACAGAGATATACATTCATGTGAACACACATGCACACACACACAGAGACAGAGAGAGACACAGAGAGAGACAGAGACAAATACAGAGAAAGAGTCTATAAAAAGCTTAGTCCATTAATTTGAAAAATCTAATTTGCTGGGTGGTGGTGACTCACCCTTTAATTCCAATGCTGGAGAGGCAGAGACGGAGAAAGTACGATCTCTGTGAGTTCAAGGCCAGCCTTGTCCGCAGAGTGAGTTCTAGAACAGCCAAGGCTACATAGAGAGACCCTATCTTGAAAAACAAAACAACTAAAAAAATAAATCCAATTTAAGAATTGATATTTTCAGGGCTGGAGAGTGGTGCCGGCTCAGTGTTCAGTGGTTAAGAGTGCTGGCTGTTCTTGCAAAGGCCCGAAGTCTGCTGCCAGCACCCATGGCAGCACCTCCCGCTGGCAGCCTGTGTAAAGGACATGGGAAAAGGAAGCTTGCTCTCTGTGCCTGCTTGCTCTTGCTCTCACTGGCAAGTCCATTCCTTCACTGGCATCACAAGTGTGCGAAACTCTGCTTCCAGGGGATTTGACACCTGTCTGGCTTACAAGGGCGCTTGCATTCACATGTACACATCCACACACAAAGACACATTAAAAAAAGAAACCTATAAATTAGTCCAATTCAAAAAATTGACCAGCACACAAAGCCTGACACTTGAGTTTTATCCCCAGGACCTACATAGTGGATGGAGAAAATCAGCTCCCAAAAGCTCTCCTGATTCCACACATGTCCCATGGTATTCATGCACCCACACACGTGTACGCAATAGATACATGTAAATTAAAAACAAAAGACCACTGGGGTCTTTGTTTATTATTTTTGAAAATGGTATTCTTCAGATTCTCAAATGAAGGCAAATACATAAAAGGAGCCAGGCACTGTAGCCCATACTTGTAATCCTAGCACTCAGGTCAGAGGCAAGAGGATTGTGAATTCAAAGGCAGCCAGGGCTATATAGCAGCACCTGGCCAAGAGAGTAAAGAAAGAGAGGGGAGGAGAAAAGGGGGGAGGTGGCACACAGGGGGGGCACACAGAGACAGAGGAGAAGGGAGAGAGAGGCAGGTGAGCAATTGACCACACACAAACAGATGCTTACTTTAATTTGTTCCTAGGGACATGCCAATACAGTTACATGACATACTATATTTCTAAAAATAATCTTGATGTAAATGGATGATAGGGATATCCCACACATGTCTGGGATGTGTAAAATGGCATATCCAGTTTGGAGAACAGTTTGACAGTTCCTCAAAAAGTTACACTTAGAGTAATTCTTAACATAGCAATTATCATTCTCAGTGAATATCTGAAAGATACAGTCAATTGTAATTATAGCCCCTCACAATCTTGTACATAAATGCTCTTCCTGTCTTTCTCTTAATACCTTAAAAGTAGATAAAACTAAACATGAATCTGATGGTGAGTAGATAAACAAAATGTGGCATATAGAAGATTATTCGGCCATAAAAATTGAAGACATCCACCCCGCTCCCACTGTAGCACTAACCACACCCAAATAGGTGCAGAGTGTCTGGGGTTGCTCTCTTGCATCAGGAGGGGTCTCAGAGGACAGCCTGGGTGGATGATTGGAGAGGGAACTTGCAGCCGTTCCCTGCTTCTTGTGTAAGTGACCTCTCCCTGAAATAAATTATATTTAATCTATATTTGAGCCTAGTCCCGTGAATCTTTATACGTGCATCCACCTTGCACTAAGTTCAAGAGGTCAGAGACAAAAGGGCCCTGTGATATTTGATCCTATTTATATTACATGTCCAGAATAACTAGTCCACAGAGACAAAATACAGCTTAGAGGTTACCAGGGGCAGACAGGAGTGGAGATGTGTTAGTTGTGTTTCTTGTTGTGATGGAATACAAAAAGCAATGTAAATGGAGAAGGACCTATTCTAGCTCCTGATTTTAGGGTACACTCCATGGTGGAAGCCGGAGTCCATGCTGGAACTCATGTCTCCACACCCCAGGCAGCAAAGAGCAGAGATTCTCACATTCAGCTGGCTCTCCCCTTCCTCCAGAGTGTTACATCCACATCCTGGGTGGGTCTGCCTTCTCTGGAAATGCCAGTACAGACAGACATACCTGAGTGTGCCTCTAAATCCAGTCAGGTTGATACTGAGCATTAGTTAGCACAGGGAGTGTTAAGGTGAGGCTTGAGTGTAAAATGTCCCTATGGGCTCATGTGTTTAACCCTTGGTAATCTGGGTCTCCTGAGGGGGGGAGATCCACCTTCTGCTGGCAGCCTGTATAAATGACATGGGAAAAGGAAGCTTGCTCTCTTTGCCTGCTTGCTCTTGCTCTCACTGGCAAGTCCATTCTTTCACTGGCATCACAGCCTAGTCCTTTGGAATTTCTCTGTAGACCAAAGACCAGCTGAGACATCCAGGCTGATTCTTGGATCTTCCATTGGTAGCAGCCATTGTTGGACTAGCTTGACCACAGAGTGTAACCCACTCTAATAAATACCCATATGTATGGGATTTATTATTATAAATATATGTTAATACAATCTGCCATGTATTATATAATATCATATAGTAACTTACATGATGAATATATAATGTATACTCCTATGTATAGATAGTGTAAACATATATTACACATTCATCATATAAGTTCTGTTCCTCTAGAGAATGCTGACTGGCAAAGATTTTGGTATCTTAAATAGTTCTAGAGCAACAGAAGTATAAAGATAAATTTTTAAGGATCTGAATAGGCTTTCTGATTTGCCAACACCTACAGGTACTGAAGCCTTTCCAGTTACTGAAACCTCTCCTGGGACCTTGGAGAGTATTGAAAGCCCATGGTATGAACTATCTTATAAACTTAAGGAGAACTATACCTTTTATTATCCTGATTCAACAATTGTGAGAGGCAACAGATTTGGTGACTATGTATGTAAAACTTTTAACAATGTGTGGAAAAAAAATAAGGAAAATGATGATGCTGGTTGATTGCTTCAGCATCTCTGAATAAATTGACCAAGGAAGAGAATAAGCTTCTTGATAAGATTAACCAACTACCAGCATCTCAGAACACAGTTTAGGACAACAATGAACTCTGTGATAAAACTGACCAGCTCCAGATGTACATACTCTAAAGGTTTCTAAGTGTGCCCTGAAAGAGAATATAGATTTGTTCTATAAAATCTGTCCCTCTGGAGATCCCTGATTAAGACACTACCCAAGTGTGCAAGATCCTACACACAGAAGGAAAATTGTAAGAAAGATGGGATGAGACCAGACTTGGACATGATTCACCGTCAAAGCTGTAAGTTATTAAAAATATTTATAAGAGGTATCAAAAAGTACACTTGTTACTAAGGACAATGTTATATTTTTAAAGTTATATTTATGTATTCATTTTTATTATGGTGTGTGTGTATGTGTGTGTGTGTATGTGTGTACAACCTTTAGGAATCAATTCTCTCCTTCCACCATGTAGGTTCCTGGGATTAAACTCAAGTCATCATGTTTGGCAGCCAACATCTTTACTGGCTGAACTCCAGATCCAGGAAAATATTCTTGGATTCTTAGCTTAAATTCATAGCTCATAAGTTACAGCAAAATAGTATGGCAATTGAATGCTACAAAAACCAAAACTACACTATTGTCTTAGGGTCTCTATTGCTGTGATAAGACGCCATGACCATAAACAACTTGCAGAGGAAAAGCTTTATTTCAGCTTATAACTCTCAGTCACAACAAACTCTATCACCAAGGAAAAAAGGGATAGGAACTCAGGGTAGGAACCTGGAGGCAGAAAATGAAACACACAAGTCTGGAGGAATGTGTTGTGGAATATTCCTTTATGCCATGTGAAGATGTGTCACTGGGATTGGTTTAATAAAAAGCTCAAAGGCCAATAGTTAGGCAAGAGGTATAAACTTCATAATTAATAATAAGTCTCTGGGTTGAATTTTTTGAGCTGGTGACACAAAGAAAGATCTGTCTACATGTGGGATCTAATGTCTGACCACATATATCTATAAGGCCTGACAAAAACTAAAAAAAAAAAAAAAAGTTTGGAAGAGGGAGTCCATTGTGGCTTCCTGGTGCAGCTTCCTAGTGAGCAAGGTCTTTTGGGTAGGCTCAGCATATAGAGACTGCCTATGGGCTGGAACCAGCCACAAATACCATGCACCAGCACCATGTACTAAGCTGAGCACACTGGCAACTGACACAGCAGTTTGAAATTTGTCTCACATGATCAGGAAATGCTGTAAATGCTTAGTAAAGCCAGGTACAGATGCAGAAAACTCCTAAAAGGGTACAGTATGTTTTAAAATGTGTTTAGATGCTGAAAATAAAAGAAAACAGATGTAGATAGTCATAGAAAAATTAATCGTTTAAAAATAATAAAGTCTTTAAAAAGAGAATAAAATGGAATATTTTAAAAGACCATGTAAAGATGGAAAATACACAGGGAATCTGGATCCTTTATAGTTCTTTACTGATTTTAAGTTTTTAAAAATGCTAATGGACAGAGAATAATAGCTGCTGAGAGAAATTGGATTGTAGAAGGGACTGCTGAATTAAACTAGC